TATTTTTAAATTTATTTATTTTTAATTTCAATATAAAATATAATAACTTTTTCATAAACATATTATATTATACGATGTATGAAATTATAAGGTACATCAATTAATATTCATTTATTGTTGGATTTTTTTTAGTTTGAATTGAAAAAAAAAAATTGTCAATATAGATTAAAATCAACATAACTTTCTTTTCTTTTAATTTATTAAATAATAAATAGTAATTATTTATCAATTATTAATTATTTTTAAGAATTAAATCAAATAAAATCAATATTTTTTTAGACAATATTAATAATTTTGTGGGAGGTTAACAAATTCCTGTGCGATGATAACCACTTCCCTATATGGTAAAATCCATTATTTGATGATTAATTATTAAGTGATGATGCTTGGTTGCCTTTTGATGAATTGGTACTTGAACATGCAGAAAGAGTCTAAGAAAAAGGTCCGAAGCAAGAGACTCCATGCATAGCTTTCAGTAGAGGATATTCAGAAAGTTGGAACTTGTAAAGTGGAGCATAATGATGCAATAAAGCTTCTGAAACCCACCTCTTTCACTCTCTCTCTCTCAAAAAGATAAGCGAGAAAAAATGAAAAAGGAAAAGAAAGGCGCCTGTGAAAAGTGGAAAAAGGACGAGGAGGACGATGGACATGAGTGAGAGCCACTGAGGCATATACAATTTACAAATTTTAATGTACGTAAATAGCCGACCTAAAGTTGCGACTGCGCTCCGCCTCAAGCCAGATGATGATATGTTGCACACAATAAAGCTCAAGTATGAGAACATGTACAATCAAATAAATCATTAATTGATCAGTATATTCTTTGTAGAAGGTGAATGGTTTATCTTCAATTAACCAAATCCACCAGACTAAAACAGTACTCTCATTTCATCCAGTTACACATTTAAATTTTGATTTCACCAAATCCAATTGTTAAAATGATGGTTTTATATATAAATATATATATATGTCTCATTTTTATGGTCAAGACTAAAGTAGACTAAAGTAGACTGTAAAAAGGAAACTTTTAGATAGGAGAAATAGTTTTCAATATTAAAAGGTTTATTTTCATCTAAGAGTTAGTTTAGTGCAATCCAAAATAATCACTATTGCACTAAATTTTTTTGTTTAAATATATACCTCTTTCAATCCTTTTTAGTTGTCCTAACATGCCTCAAGTTTATGTAAATTAACTTTATAATCTTAGATAGGAGATAACAAATTAATGCCAATTGAATTTTTTTAATATAAATAAAAATATTTAACAAGAATAGGAGATACTATTTACTATATAACATTATTTAATCAAATTATGACAATTAAATCA